TGCCAAGAGGATCGTCTTAGGCCAAAGAGACCTCAGACTTGTGATAGAAGAGATATTCTGCATGGCCTTATTCATCAAGCTTTAAATGCACATCTACTGTGATCAGATATTGTGACACAAATTTAGTTCTTATTGGCAGAAGATTCAGGCAGAGGTGGACATAAAGAAGTATACAGCATAGCAGAGTTATGTGGACAGAGATCCTATGGGATAGACATCCAGAAGCTATCAAGATTTCCTCATACTTCCCCAGTTCTGGTCTCTCCATTGAGCTTCAAATTCAGAACCCCCAAAAATCTTGTTAATCTGAACATTATCTAAAATTTGATATGGATATAATAAAATGTTCTTTTGTGAGTCTACCCAACCTTAGATAAATGGTTACACCATCCACTCACTGAGTTAACTGTCTAATATCTGTGTGTCATCCTTGATTCCTCTGTTAATTTCCCTTTGTTCTGCTTTGATTCTTCTTTTAATCTTCATCCAACTCACCAAGTCCCTTTAGTTCTTAGACTGTCAAACTCTCCCAAGCTAAGGTATACATTCACATGTAAGAAACCATGGCCTCTTCAATGGTCTAAGGGTGAATTGGTGAATTCTCATGGTATAAATATGATTTTTTTACATACCATTTTTATTTTATTTTAGTAACATTTACATTGTAATTCTCATGACATCAGAGGGAAGTTTTCATAGCTGTCCATCTAATAGATTCATTTCTCCATTTATACTTGCAGATTAGCAGACACTGACATTCCCAAGAGTTTGTTTCATCTATTTTTTTTCATAGGTGGGAAAAGTTTAAAGCATAAATATTAAACAAATGCCTATAAAGTGCTTATGGCAATAAATGTTGTTTTTTCCACATATCTTTGATGTTGTATTTCTTGAAAATAACACCCATGTGAAGCTTGATATAATAAAAAACAGAATTTGCTTAATTTCTTTTCAGTGTTTAGGCTAATAAAATGGGGTGTATAGGAATGTGGGAATGATTAAGAAGAGAAATAGAATAACTTAGTAAATGTGTCAGACAAATTAAAACTCAACATTCCTCAATATAATGACCATGTGAGACTAATGAAAAGATTTTTTAAGGTCACATCTTCAAAAATGAAATTTTCTACTTAAAATTCTTCCTATGAAATGAGCAATGACTTTGAAGAAGTTGTAAATTTACTTTATAATAAGTCAAAGATCAGGTGTATCACATGCTGGGAAAAGTAGAGCATTACTATGTGCCTTTATTATCAATGATCCAATTAAAATCCATCAATCTGTGATTCAAAATTGATGCATAATATTGAATTCTCTGTGTATCATAAGAGTTTTTAAAATGTTGAGATATTACAGAGTCTTTAAAGTGCTGTATGACATTCATCCAGAAAATTTTTTAATGAAAAAAATATTAAATATCTATTTTTACTACTTTTATTTTACCCATGGTCCTGATTGCTTATTATAATAACTGTTTAACTTAATTATGTCCTAGATAATCTAGGAAAGAAAAATACAAACTATTTCCTTTACCTGAGTTAAATATATGGGCCTTGCATCTCATTGTGTGATGATGAGTAGTATGTTATCCTTTGTGTACCACTTTATGTGACTATAACATGGATAATATTCCAAGTAGGTCTAGGTAAATATCTGTGAGACACTAAGTTTTCTCAGACAAGATTCATAAAAGTGCAAGAAGGATTCCTGGATCTCTTTGTTGCTTTCTAAGAGTCAAAATAAAATCTTTATAATAAAAAGATCCCACCCACTCAAAGAGGAATGCACTAGACTTCCTAATATTTGTTAGAATCAAACAATCTATATAGCTATATAGGTATATATAAGTCTTATCTCATGCCGGGGCTAAAATACAATACGGATAAAATTGAAGAAACGTGTCTTTGCTAAACAAGCATTTTTCATCCATAGAAATTTATACATAAAACAAAGTTGGTAACAGAGAGAGAACATTTCACCTCATAATACTAGAATACTCTTTATTCAAGCTCTCTTCCACAAACAGAATTGTGTCCCAACAAAATTCACAAGTTAAAACCCTAATCCCTAATGAGATGGCATTGGAGATGGGGTTTTTGGGAAGTAATTATGTTAAGACATCGTCATGATTGTGTCCTTGTGATGTGATTGGTGTCCTTATAAAAAGACTTTCAGGAGATTTCCGTGTCCCCCTAACACAAGAGAGTATAGGGGAAAGGAAGTCATCTGAACTTAATCTGAATTAAGATAGAATTTGAGGGGCTGGGGTCGTGGCTCAGTGGTAGAGTTCTTGCCTAGCATGTATGAGGCTATGGGTTCCATCCTCAGCATCACATAAAACAAATAAATTAATTAAAGGTATTGTGTCTTTATATATATATATAGTTGTAGGTATATGTGTGTATATATATATGTGCATATATATATATATATATATATAGAGAGAGAGAGAGAGAGAGAGAGAGAGAGACAGACAGACAGACAGACAGACAGAAATTGGTAGCATGATTGCAGTATCATTGTAACAACAAAATATCTGAAAGCAACTTTGGAACTAAATAAAGGGTAGAGTCTGAAAGAGTTAAAGAGATTCATGCTAGAAAAAAACTGATACTTCCATGAAGACAGAAAGGAAAAAAGAAAGCTATAGATAACGTTTCTATCTTCTTAGAAAACACATAAATAATTAGAATTAAGTGCTGGTAGGGATCTATTTGTGTATATATGTAGTAGATCTACATGTATGTAGATATATCCATTTGTGCTGCTATAGCAAAATAACTGAGTCTGGGTAATTTATAAGGAACAGAAATTTATTTTCTTACAGTTATTGAGGTGGAGAAGTTCAAGATCAAGACACCAGGATGTATTCTTGCTTCATCTTTACATGGTAGAAAAGCAGAAACATCTAGCCAAATACTACATAAAATCTCATTTTAAGGTCCTCAATCACATTGATATTATTTGTATATTAAATTTGTGTGTGGGTATCACACTTAAAGTATGGTAGTAAAAATGTGGATTGGTTATTGTGGTGAGGTCTCTCGTGGAAGTGGGGATTGTTAGTGGAAACTGAAGGAAATATAATTTTTATTAAAAGTCACAAATAGCCTAAATGTATTGTGACATCTTCTAGTGTCTTATGGAAAATAGAACTTGTAAAGAATGAAACTGGATATTTAGCTGAGAATATTTCTAATCCAAATATTGAAGGTGTGTCTTGGTTCCTTCTGATGACTTACAACAAAAACACAGCAGAGATAATTGATAGAATTGTTCAGAAAAATGATACCAGAACTTGGAGATTTGGAAAACCTTAGTCTATCTATATTGTGAAAAATGAGATAAGTTGCTCTGAAGAGAATAGGAATGGTATAACTAAGCAAAAACTGCAAAAAGAAAGCGTAGATTCAACTCATGAATTTATTCAGCCATTTCAGCAGTGCCTAGGAATAGAGATGAAATTGCACCAGAAATGTTCTGCCTGTTTGAACTAAAAGTTATGAGTGTGAGAAAGAATGAAGAAAAACTGTTGAACTTCTTAGATTCTACACAACTTTAAACCAATATGCAATATTCTTCAAGAGATGGGAAGTAGGACCCTAAAGGAAAGTCTGAGGTCTTTTTGGCTGCCCTCAAGATCTAAGAGCAACATACATAGAGGTCCAGGGAAAGGAGAAACTTCTTCCAACTCAGTCTCAAAAAACAGGACTACCATCTCAGAAGAGATCAACAGAATAAGCAAAAGGGCAGGGTTGCTCCACTGAGTCATAGGGGTGACGTTGCTATCCCAGTGTGCCTGGAGAACAGAACATCAAGCCAAAGGAGGATTAATGTATTGCCTTGAGGTCTATTAGAATTTACTGTGTTAGGTTTGGAATTCCTTGGGAACCATTGCCCTTTCCCTACTTTTTTATTTGGAGTGGGAATGTCTATTGTATGGTTTTTCCCACTGTTATATTTTGGTCTGGTTATGGTTCACCCCAAAGCAGATTTTGCCTGAGGAAGAGATATTAATGTTGACCAGTGGTCAAGGACAGGGAAGGGCCTTGATGGACAGAGTAATGTGAATGATTATAAAAGGTCAACACAAGAGATTCTTGTGGTATTGGTACTGTTTACATCTTGATATTCAAACATACACAGGTGCCAACATTTTATAGAACTTACTACACTCAAATGAGGACAAGTATAAGTGGGGATGTTGAATAAAATTAATGGATTACATCATGGCCAATATTCTGGCTGTGATATTATAATTTATAAAATATTTACCATTAAGTAAAAAATGAGACAATTTAAAAGAGATAATTTGTGTTTCTTACAATTGCATGTGAATTTATAATTTCAGTAAAAATATCATTTAAGAAGTTAAAACAAGACTACTTTCATTAAAAATATTTTTTTGAAAATATAGTTATATTTTTATAAAACAAAATACAGTTTTGCTTTTATAAAGATGCTATTTATGTTAGCATGCAATGAGCTTACTATTCAACGGGTTAATAAATGAATATTTAAAAAATAAATTTGAAAATGCTCATTGATCATTCACATCTTTATCTGATTGTGCTAAGGCATACTCCATGGGAAAGCAAGGCAATTCATATGCATTTTCATTTCACCTTACCTCATATTCAAAAACCAAAAGAAAAATAACTGTATTAAAAACGGCATCCTTACTTCTGTGAATATGTACACAGTGAACCTGGGAATGCATTTCAAAGAAGGTAATTTTTCATTAAACTATTTTTCTAGGAAAGTATAGAAAAATTACACTTAGAAAACAATATACAGCATATGTTAATAAATACATGAAATAGAAGGTGGTGGTTTGCATTAAAGTATTTTTATATTTTATAATGTAATCTATTGCTTATTATTTTTAGCAGTGAATAGTCCTCTTTTTCATTCAAAATAGCTGAATTCAAAGTGACAAAATGTTTCTGGGCTCAATCTTCCTCACAAAACAAAGGCTGATTGTTCACTGGCATGAAATTTGTTCAGAATATTTGGAAGACTGAAATCTACACTCACTACTAAGAAGCTACTCCATAATGGGGAAATTATTGATGTAAGCTCTTCTTTGAATTCATAAAGCTTTGCTACACAATATTGTGCTAAGGAGCATCCATGCATTGGCTAGGTAGTTTTAATGCAAATTAAGACATTTCTCATATTTAATTTCAGAGGATCTGCAATGAGGCAAATCATCTTTCTTAGAAATCTCATCAGATTTCTAGTGCTTTCTTCTACTGTTCCAGCAGTTCTGCATTCTGTTTAAAATGATTTTGTCCTTTGCTGTGGGAAAGGGTTTTACTGTTTCATGATGTGTGCTTCCAATTTCTATCAAGACTGTCTGCTTGACTGAAGAGTAAAGAGCCGAAACTTCTGTAAAGAGCACACATTTCTGCTTCAAGTTATACAAGTGTGAGCTCTTTAAGTTCTAAGTGGTTTCTAAGGGAGTATCCTTAATTTGGTTTTCCCCAAGAATGGGCTGTGGGCAGTTAAATCTCTGCAGATGGGATAATCTTCACATTCTGATAAGATTATTTTCGATTAACCCCACCCCCCCCACCACCACCACAACCCCCAGTCCTTGTTTGATTACTACTAAGCTAGCTTTAATCATTCATTCAGCCTAAGAATGTAAGATTTGTAATATTTAATGAAAAATGATGAAAATAAGAAAAGCTTTCACTGATTTATACTTTCAAAGGCAGTTTACTCTAATATTAAAAAAAAAAAACTCTATACGAAGCAGTTTCCTTTCCCTATCTATACATAAAATAAAACTCAGCAGATGGGGTTTGGTGACTGGTATTACAACAAAAAGGAATTCATATGAATATTTCTTGATTATAATATGCTTATAAATTGAATATTTAAAAAAACCTTGTGCCTTTAGAATTCTGTTAGATGGATAAATTATTCTGAATACAGGGACTTGGGTAAAATAACTTTCCATGTTTCACTATTATCTCAGATCTGTAACAGATTCATGGATAATACTGTGTGTGCAATATATGTGATATTTTATATACAGTTCTGTCAAATTGCCTGAATCTCTAATAGTTCAGTTACTCCTATTTCATGAATTATTCTGTGGTAATGATAAATGCCTTACAACTTAACCAACATAGAATAAAGTTTTCAATGAGCAGAGTTGAGAAAATGGGAAACTCCTGCCAGCTTAAAATTCTACTTAAATATGGTAAGGTAATAAAATATTTATATTTGATAGATTAGCAGGAAGAAAACAAGAGCCTTGTTTTTAAGGGAAATATGCATAGGGAAGGTGAACATAGAAATGTGAATTTGAAATTAGATTATAAGGAAAAGGAAGTATTAATTGGCAGAATAAGACAAGGGTACTAAAAGTTATCAGAAGTCCAAGAGAACCAAGGCTGAAGTGAGAGAAATTATACCACCACTTACCCCTGAGCTCACCTAGTGTGCTATGTACAGAGTACTGCTGTATGCATTTTACATGGATCTCAGAGGCTCTGCTATGCCTCTTCCATTCATATGTTGAAGCCCTAGCCCCCAGATCCTTAGGGAGGGACTGTATTTGGAGACAGGACCTGTAACAAGGTGGTTAAATTAAAATGAGGCCATTATGATGGACCTTAATCCAACTTGACTAGTGTTCTAATAAAAAGAGGACATCTCTACAGACAGAGAAATACCTGTGATGTGCATGCACAGAAAAAAAAAAAAATGGGAGGATAGAGCCAAGCGGTGACCTTCTACCAATGAAGGTTAAGTCTCAGAGACAACCAAACCTGTCCACATCTTGATCTTGGACTTTCAGCCTCTTGTTTAAGCGACTCAGACTATGGTACTTTGTCATAGTTAGTGTAATGTCATGGTTTGTGTTAGTCACCCTAACACACTAACAGAATGGTTAAACTCTTTAATTTCTAAATGATCTCTCTATTATTATTCCTATTTTATAGGTGAAGAAATTGAAGCAGAGATTGTAAGGAACTTGCTTGAGATCCCACAAGCAGTAAATATTAAAAATCTAGAATTAGACGCAGTTAACCTATCTCTAGAGGTAAGTTTATTAACCATGCCTGATAGCATTGAGAACAAGGTGGCTCAAGTTAGAAAACAGTGGAATGTAAAACAAAAGATTTATTCACCTTTGACCTAACTATCAAAAACTGAATATGTATGTGTGAATGATGTTTACATATCATAGTAAATGCATCATAAGTTTTTCCTTCAAAGAACTTAGAATCTGGTAGCAGATAAAAAAAAAATAGGTAAAAAGGAGTAAGCTAGAAGAAAGGAGCATGTCCTTATAGGGTGAAAACTGACCAGTAATATTCAGAGGAAGGGGCATAACATTCCTCTGGGTGGTTCAGAAAAGTCTTGGAATTGCAGGTGGCATCTGTCTTGCCTCTTGAAATATCTGCCAAGTATGAATATGTAAAGTTGGGAAAATATATAGCAATCAACATGAACACAGATGGAGGAAGGAGCAAAAGGAAAAGAGAAGGGTCGACGAGTAGATAGAGTGAAAAATGCGGTTTGGAAGAATGCAGAGATCCTGGATTACAAATTCTTGGAACTCCTAAAGCTTTCTGCTTGCTATAGAGGATTATTCAACCAACAGAACAATAAAACTTGCACTTTCTTTTTTCAGTCTAAAGAGAAAAACTGCATCAGTTCATAGACTAAGTAAATGAGAAGCGATTTCAGATTTACATTTCCATCAGTATCTATTGAACCTGATTATTTTAAAGAGTAATTTTCAGTTGCTACACCATTTCTCAATTCTATTTCAGCATTTTATATATCCACTAAAATATTACTATTTGTAATTTCTCTTGTGCTTTCAAACTGTATTTCATTCCTCCCGGTGGTATTATTGGGGGAGCAATTTGATTTTTGTTCTAGTTTTATTCTGCTTGAACTCAATAGAGACCATTTATTTTGCAATTTTATCAGACCTCTTAAAGCATCTTTTTATGTGGAGGTTTGAATATGGAATTAAATGCATGCTTTGAAAGACAGATTGCTACAGCTTTGTTGTCCACAGAGTACAAAGGTTTTAAATATTTCATAAGTTTCATAGACATAGTGTTTTTCTTTTAAAAGTCCCATGACAGAAGGACATGTGGGTACTGATCAATACAACCATGGCCATTTGACCTACCAACTAAGCCGATGTGTTTTCTTCTATTCAATATTCTTTCACTTTTTATTCTCAAGTATATATGATTTATTCCAAACTTAAATCAGTTTGTTAGTAAGTTTTTTTCCACCTACATACTTACTTGTTTTTCCTTACATATGCATATACTGTTTTCCTACCTTTTGTTTGTCAGAATAAATTTATTATCAGCAAAAGTAATGAACTTATTAAAATATTTTCCATATACTTTTATAGTCAAAATTACATTTCAGAATTTATGGAAAGTTTCTTTCTTTTTAAGAACATTCATTATTTGAACTTGTTTTAATGAGACATATATTATGTCAGAGACATTCTCAGTAATGTGATCAAATGCTTAGAAAATCTATCTTGGCATGTGGAGTGGAGTATTTTGTTCCATTTATATGCTCAGTTCTTGAAAGCTTTTTGCAAAAAAGGTACAAGGGAAGATGATACCCTTAGGGGTCTAATTTTCTTTGTCATCCACCTGAATAACTTCAATTAACATTAATATACATGCTAGTAAGAGAGCATCAGCTTTGAATATGTAAAAGAAAGTAATAACTGCTGGGATTGAAGGAAAATCTGATTAGTTCAATAATGCACTGAGCAATGTCATTATGTAGGCCTGTTCTTGTTAGGATTGTTCTTTACTGAATCAAATACCATAATTAAAACATTAAAGATTCTTTAAATTAGTTTTCTCATTCAATTAAGAGAAAAAAATGCCACTAAAAATGTAATTTCACTTTAGTAGAGGGAACTGAATATAAGTCATTGCAAATATTTAGAATTAATATTAAATAAAACTTCCAAAGTAGTTTTGCAGCATAATATCTCTTCTAGTAACATTTTTCCACGTCAGTAGAAAAAATATTTCTCTACAAAATGAAACATAAATCATTTTGCAATGCTTTCTGTACTTTTAACTCAACTATTATTGTAACAGGTGGTTGAGAACATAAAACTCATATCATCCTTTCGTATCTGCCATGTAAAGTAGTGTCATTTTTGAGATGGAAAGTAGTGCCATTTTTGAGATGGAAAGTAGTGTCATTTTTGAGAAGAGCAGGTCACCTTTTGTGTACTGTCATTTTCATTAGCAGAATTATTCTCCACAAATCTGATGACAGATGGAAAGACACTTTAAGATTTTAAATTTGATTTCCATAAATGGGGAATGTTAACAAAGAATGATTAAGTAGAATTTGCTGTTTTATTTTTTACCTGATCTACTAATAAAAATTTAAAATATCTTTTGGTTTAAATAGTTAAGCAAAATGATATTCCCATAGACTAGCATTTTAAAATCATATTTTAGTTAGCTAATGGTATTTCAATGAATCTGTATATGTATTATTTGAATTTAAATTTGCTTTCTTTACAGAGAAAACAGTAGTGTAAGGAAGTCAATTCTTCCCATTAGCACATGGAATTAGAGTTAAATTTTCATGGCTCGGAACTGGAATAGCTGAACTCTGTGGGCAAATTGGACAGTCACACAGGGGCTCACGCTTAGAAGGGCAGTGCACTAAATGTTTGCACTGTGTTTTGAAATTCTTAGAAGCTTTTTTAACAAAAAAACTCCAATGTTTTGTTTGGCTAATTTGTGAGCTGAGTTTCACAAATTTGGCAACCTGTCCTATGAGGGAAAATGATTTTTGACATATGGTTGGCTAATTTGGAACTAGACTATAATAACACAAATAATATATTGACTCTTTCCAACTTTTATACTAATAAAATTTAGTTATTTACACACAAGTTATTCACTGTTCAAATTTAGTTTTGCTATTTCCATTGCTTTTTGATATTTCAAATGTCATTTTAGAAAAGCTAACTAAGCAAGAGAGAGACATATATCTTCATATATTTCGGTCATAGATCCCTTTGTGGTCTTTTAAAACTTGATTGTTTTCCATTGTTGTGAGAGGAGAAAGGCAGGGATATAATGTTAAGACTGTAGTTTGAAAATCTGGACCAAACATTTAGTACTGATTTCTGATTGAATCCTAAGAAACTGTTATTTGGAAGTATGTTAGTACACCTATTGCTTTCCCAACTAACGGAAACTGTGTAGAGTTAAATGTATCATTCATAACCCAAGATGTCTTCAAATTGATAGTATTCATGGGCTTGGTGTTTTAAAGCTCAGTTAAGAAATTATTGGCATTTAAAACGCAAAGTGACAACACAATTTAGTTCTTGGGGGGGAAATAGCAATGTGGAAACCTCTGGAAAAATAAGTATGATAACTGGATGCTGAAATCATTTTAACATTGATGAGTCCAGACAACTGCCTCTAATAGATAAGTAGTAAACCATTTCTAAGATTGCTCTTCCCAAACAATAAAAGCACACCCTTAAACCTGACATTTCCACAGTGATGAATCTTAGATGAAATCATATGAAATGTCAAAATAAAGGCAGAAAAAAATCAATAGTTGTGCAGATGAAGCTATGTTAGGTCAATAGTTTCATAATGTTTGTGACAGGCCACCCATGTTTTTTTGTGTGACAATATTTTTTAATGTGCAATAACTCCAAAGCACTGAAAATTAATTTTTGAGATGGAATTACCTCTTGACAAGGATATAATTAAATTCATACTTTTTTTCCCCTCTCCTGAGATTGCAGAAGGATGTGGTAAATAAACTGCCCCTTCAAGGTCAGAAATATGTTAGGTTTCTAAGCCCATAAAAAGAAATGTCCCTTTGGTCCAGAGGAGTGTCATTTCTCTCTCTTCCCAATTTTCTGCTATACCTCAAGAGAATCACAGGCTGTGCTGAGTCCTCTTCTAAACCTTCCACAAACATATACCCTCCGGGGTCTGTGCAGCTCAAAGAGAATATGCCTTCTGAGTGAGAAGACCTTTTCTCTCCCTGTGAAGGAAGAAGGCACACAATCTATTTTTTTCTGTGACTAAGGTAGGAACTAAAAAATGTCCAACAAATTAGGAAAAGAGTGGTTGTAGGATACCTTAAGAAGAGTTTTGTTTGCTTGAGAAGAGAAGCAGAATATAGTCAATAAGTAGTGACAATGATTAAAACCTATTTCTCAAGAATAACGTGAAAAGAAACAGAGTTCATTGGATGGATAAAAAGCTGAGTCCCAAACAAAATGGCAGCACTTAGAGAATAATTTATTTTTGAGTGAATTAAGAGTATAAGTTCTTAGGTATATAGTTGGATTTCTGCTTCGATGTTGCTAATTTTAAGCAAGTCCACTGAATGGTCTAATTCTAAATTTCTTCATCACTGAAATGAAATAATAGTACCTTCTAGTTACTTTGTTAGGATTCTTCAAATTTCATGAAACATGTCTTCTTATAGTTGCTCCCTTTACATTTTGAGTTTTAAAACTATTGTGGACTTTACCATTATAATGCTCCATGATGACATTACTTTACTTCAGTTAGAGCTTGTGATTCATCTGTAGATTTATCTATTTCTCCCCAACAGGTCTCAGCTCTTAATGAGTCTGAACTCTCAATTATGCATCCATATGTTGAGTACTCTAGCTCTTTGACTCTTGGGTCCTGCTACATGCAAAATGAGAGAATTTTCAGAACAATTTTCTACGAATTTTGAATTTAAGTCTTCTCATAGGCAAGCCAAATGTAATTCCCTGGACCTCTCACCACTTAACTGTGGGTATAACCAGTAGCTCTTCTCCAAATTCTTAATGTTTCTATATTGCCCTATACCCTATTATTCCTTTCTTGCTTGTGCATAGGGAACACCCAGCACCATGCAGCTCTAGGTACTACTGCAATGCCAGCAGTTTCTGTGCCTAATTATCTCATCTCCCCAAACCACCACCTGCTTCTATTTATCCTGAAGGATTCTTTGGATGAATACCAAATACTATGCATTAGGAATAGCTAGGATTAT